CCCCTTCTATGCCCATTATCACTCTATGGCGGAAGCTGCGCAATTCTGAATTGCTTTAGCGAGCAGTAATTTTCCGTTGCAGCTGTAATGAGACGTAGAGACGGTTTGGTCGTGTGTTTGTGCTATTGTTTAAGTTTCCAGATTACAATCCCACCTTTGTCGAAATACGTTCTTGGTGGCATCTCTTCATAACAGGTATAACAGCTGTCCAGCAAATCTTTTAGCTGTGCAAATACTCTTTTAGCTTGAACTCTGGTTCTGGTATCGTCGTTCTCTTATAAGACTAAACGTTTCCGTTAAGCACAATTGCACTTCAAAAAGCTCCGGTATAGAAAGCAGCATCGCAAACCATTTTCACTGCAATCAAATTATGCCAAGGAATGTTTCGTTATATTTGTCTGTATAATCTTATAAACTGATTTTGTTCAGCTGTTGCAATGTTGGTATAAGTTTTCGTTGTTGTTGTTGTTCGTTGATGGCTGACGTTTCGGCGATCTCGCCTTTCTGAGAGCCGTGCTATTACGAGTGGGGACTCCTGTAATTTGTATCAACCTCGCATCAGCTCGACAAGATCTGTTTATCACCTACAGTCCCGTTGACCGTCGGGTGACTTGACCGGGCGCCAGTAAATCTTCCACTTTTCCTGTCGCGTGCAAGAGTAGCGCAGTGGGTTCTCCTCGCTCTAGAAACTCGTTGAGCATCATACCTTTCTTCCAGACTTTTTGTGGAGAACTCTGACCATCGGGTCGGTGGTCTTCCTGCAGTGCGTTTGACATCCCGAGGAATCAGGTCACTAACATCGTTTGACAACCGATAGATCAGTTTGTATGATCGCATAAATAACTATATCAACTATTTATGCCGAGCTTTATGGAAAGTCGGTCTTTTGAATTACTAAGAGTGTTTCATTATAGCAGAAGCGTGAAGGTCGCCATTTATGATAACCTTTCTCATACTGCGTATGTAAAATAGGAAACAGTATAGATATTGTATCGCAGGACGCTCAGTTTTACTAGGAATTCGTGACGTTCTGGAGCACACTTTTTTTGGAAGTATTCTTTTACAATCTTAACTTCCTATCTTGTTTACTGCCTATTCTTTTTCATGGAAGGGTACTATATGAAACGCAACTACAACTGGGGTGACGTAACTCGGGACCCCACATTCTAGCCCTATTCTTTTAAAGAAGATCATGGTTTCGCATATTGCTATGAAACAGTTTAATGCACAAAGACTATTTTAATGCCACTAAACATATGGGTTTTCTAGAATCCTGTGACAGATGGGCTAGAATGTCTTTAAGTGTTCATTATGTGTGATCATTAGGTTTATAACTCGCACGAGTGGTACGCAACCTCGAAATTAAGAGGTGCTTATTTAATTTAGTTCAAAAAAATCGGAATAAGTGATATCCACTTATTTGGAGCTCCTGTCCACGTAAGATTTCGAACCTCTTTCTTGCTTAAGTAATCCTTCCGATGATGACTTCACATTGTGTCCCAACCGATTGTCCGGAGATACCTCACCGTTAGTGCAAACCGGCCGACATTAGAGGATATTAAGTAGCCCAGGAATTGTTAACGATCGTCGATTAGCGAAATTCTGAAGAGAATATGCGCGCTGCTTACGATTTCTTATGTATAATCGAAGTTATTTGGGTGTATAGGGAGAAAGAAAGGAGCACCATACTACCTCCTTCCAACTGCTCATTACCGGACCATCAAGCGGTATGGTCGTTTTTGCTGAGGTCACTGGGTCTGCAGGAATCGTTGCATTCGCAAATCGTTTACAGCAGAGCGCAGAACATAGGGAATTATCTGAAAAACGACTGATGGACTTCTCAGTGGAATGCACCTCTTTTTCTTTGTGACGATGGTCTCTCACATTTCCACAACTGCAGTAGAAAACGATGTTCTTCAGGAGAAATAGTTATTCAAATATCAGAATAGTTTCCCGTAAACTTCGTTAGTTTTAGTTTTTCATTTGGATGTAAGTTTGAGGAATTAACCTTATTGCCATCAAACTTCCTTAACGGATCGAATAGGCTTTGGAAACCAATTTATATACATCGGAACATAGATGTGTTCTGAATAAGTGGTTTTAAAAGCCGACCGTCACTTAACCTTGGCATAAGTGAATGATAAAGGATAAAGTTCTCGGCGCTGATCAATCCCTTAGGGATGCGCCAGCATGCATTCGACTTAATTAAGTTCGTTTGGAGGTGATTGAATGCATATCAGGCCTTTAGAATGACTCACGATGGCCTACCGATAAATCAAGCCAGTGCTCCTATCCTCCCAGACAAACCTGGTACCAATTTGCCGACCCCGGAGGGATGGAAGGTTTGATGAGCCTGGTGCGTGGGGAATCGATCCCAAGTGTATTGAATGAGCCTCTGACCACTGCGTCACACGCGCCCATTATAAGTGAATGATAACTGAAGTAATGATAAGGCTTGACAAGTGAATTATCTGTGTAGTTTATACGTTCTCATTTAGTGTAGTATTACTTGCTTGGCTTAAGCTCAATTGCGTTTACTCACTTTGGTTCCTTACGATCGTGTAAAAAACTAGTTCTTCATACATTCGTTCACACATTCACTACTTCTTTTTTTAATGCGCCTAGGTTTTCTGTTCTTACCTTGTGTTTACATTACCGTTACAGGGAAGAATTTTATGAACGATTTCTCATTGTGGTTCGCACAACCCCTGGGTTCTTCCTTGAGTGTCGATTTAACAGCATCTGGAAGTGGTTTCGAGTCTTCGTCTTCCGATTGTGTTCTTTCATCGTCGCCGTACACAATGACCAATATAACTTATTGGATGTTGTTCAGATGAGATGGTGATTCCGACGATTCCGCTTCGGTGCGCCGACTGCGGTAAAGACGTGACGTCATCTACCAGTAAGTCGATTTCGATTGCAAATCATCTGCGAGACGTGAAGGCAACCGAAGCCAACGGCAGCAGCACCTCGATCGTCGAGTTCTGGTGGTGCCGTGACTGCGCACAAGGTGTCTGCAAGTGAGTAGCAGTTTCTCTTCGTTTTTTTCTTAAATTCCTTTCATCTTCAATATTGTTCGTTAAATTCTGGCCTACAAATAAAAAGATTCGTTGAGAATTCATTAAGTAAACTTAGATGAAGTACTGATATGCAGTACTGTTGTAAATAGTAGCAAGTTAGCTATAAACAACCAGAGTTTTCTCAAACATCCCCTCTTTGTAATTTTAGAAATTTTTTCTCTATTTCCTTCCACTCCTAATCATTCCATGTATTTTATGCTACTCTTCATCAGTTGTATAAACTTCATCAAGACAAGTAACCTTCTTGTACTCCGATTCTCATAGTTTTTTCCTTTTTTGATATCGACAGTTTATATTTTATTAAATACTTGGTATTCAAATCATTTGTGCTGTTGGGATTATTTGTCTTAGACAGTTGTCATTCATCTATTAGGATCTCATACACTAGCGCTTGAATACTTAAAAGCTTGTCCTCACACATGTTTCATCCGTTTCGTTGTCTTCCAAGATCATCCTTAGAGGCGGAAAGAATCACAGATGATTTCGGTTACGACTTGATGATCTGTCATGTCCTCTCGTTGTTGACGTCTTGGTTATGCCTTGTTTCCCTGGGATTCTGGAAACAGCTCTGCTGGGGTTTTGCCAAGTCTGCAGCACAACAGCTAGCCTGCTGCTGTGAATCAAAGTAGATCTGTCGTCTTACTGTTAGGACTTCATTAACGTGAGCAGTCCTTTCTGTATCTCTCGATCTGTTCTATTCATAAAGAGATAGAACGTTGCTGGACACTAAGAACAATAATAAAAAATGTATTTGGTTCGTTTTTTACTGTTTTCCCGCACCACTTCAGTTTTTACGAGAATATTCAATTTTTCCGTCCACTTTCATTATTTGCAACAACGATTGAATCTTTGACCACTTAGAATTTTTAACGACAAACCAGTGTTAAGATAGAGAACAGAACTCACGTCTTCAAGAAATTGAAAGGTTTTTCGAAAATATAAAATTTCATTTCTATCAAAGTCACCAAGACTGTTAGTCGGTCAGGAATACCCACTTACTAACGTATTCCTATACTTGGATGGCGCATCCTCACTAGTAATGCGAACCCCAGCACATTCTCCATTTCTCGGAGTTTTACTGGCTTAGCCATTGTGGTTGTTTGGAGTCCTGAGGTCAACTAGGCCAACGTCTGCCCCAGGTCGTCACCGCCATAGGCAGTCGCCGCCCTTGTGGATCACAGGGAGATTTACCATCATTCGACTAATTTGATATCAGGACGGTGAATGTTCCTGGTATTGAATTATTCTTAGCTAGGCTTCCTGATGGAAACGCCGGACTGCTTCTCGGCTCGAGAGACCTTTCTAGAGAGATGAATCCCCCGTTGTATATCGCAGCCCGACATTCAGAAGTACCTACCAGCCGCGGTGTGGCGGCAAACCGTTTGGAGGAACGTATTATTATACTTTTCATATTTTAATCAATCTTCTACTAAGTTGAAAATGTACTCGACTCCTTTTTGTTTGTATGACATTGAAGCACGTAAATGCGTTCATTCCTCCATGGGCCATTTTCCTTTATTTCATAATTCTTTTTTTTTGTTCCGGATATTCCAACATGTTTTTTTGCCATTGTAGTAAACATCTGCAAGTTTATCTATCGCTTAAAATTGCATAAGTTGTTTTTATTTCGCTTCACTTTAGAACAAAGACCACAGTCAGATCATCTCGGATAGAGATTAAGTGAACGAACGGGGAAGACGTTTAGAGGGATCTAGTATCATTTTGTCATTTCGAATGTGAATGGAAGCGCTAATGCTGAGATCCGGGCAATAAGTATTTTACGATCATTATCAAAATTGATGAACACTGCCATTTTTATCAACAATACTGTGTGAATAGTTTTGGGAAATACTAGACACTGTATAAGTAAATGAGCAATTGGATGTGAATGATTCAGATGGTACGAGCGATTGAATAATTTCACAAATGGTGAGCTTTGGAGGCCATCTGATAGCAGAACGTCCAGTACATGACGTTGAAGCCTAGAAATCCGAGCGGCACGCAGAATCGAGCGTAATAGTCGATTTTGGCTGGCAGATAGTCCGGCTTGGTGAAGTAACTGCGTAACCGATCCCGAAACGACGGACGAGAGTTGTTGTACTGAAGATCCGTCACTTTGGAATATCGTTCACAAGAGCAATTATTCATAGAGAAAAGAGGAAAGAAACAGTATTAAGCACAGAAATTGACTTCATTTTCGAATGAGATGATATAAGTCTACTTACTCTCAGATCTAGAATGAAATTCAGCAAGACTATGTTTTCTAATACTTGAATACTTGAATAGCCCGTCCTCACTGGTTGTGCGAGCCCCAGCATAACCTACATTTTTTGGAGATTTGCTGGTTAGGCTACTGTGGTTCTCTGGAATCCCGAGGTCATCCTGGCTAAAATATGCCTTTGGTCGTCACCATCACAGGCCGTCGCCGCTGTTGTGGATCAGAGGGAAATTTGCCACCATGCGACTTTGATACCAGGACGGTGGTGGATCTTGGCACTGCTTTACTCTTAGCTGGGCTTCCTGATGGAAAGGTCAACCTCCTTCTCAGCTTGGAAGACACTGATAGGGGGATCAATCCCCTCCCCTCCCTGTACATCGCCGCCGGACACTCAGGGGCACCTCTCAGCCACGATGAGGCCGTAAACCGTTGGGTGGATGTTTCTTTCGTTTGCGACGTGGAATATGTTTTTTAACACTGGTGTCCAAAGAATTTTGAGCTGATAGATATTACAGCTACTTTTTCAAGTAGTAACTACTAGGAATGTTAAGGAGATACAGATGGGGTTTCATTTTGTAATATATTCTGTGCTAAGTGGAGCTTCTAAATATGAAATAAATAAGCCCACACTAACCAGGTGACAAGTGCATGGTGGTTGATATGATTGATAGTCGTCCACCCCAACGAGATCCATATTTGACCGTCGTTTCTGTGCCTTCCGACTTTCATTCGCCCTGGCCTGCTCACTTTTTCGTGAGCTGTCCTGGTAAGAGACGAATGCGTACTCGATTAAGGCACCAAATACGAATGTTTGACAGGCTGAAATGCACCCACTTTATTACAAGATAACAATTTTAAACCGTCCAAAGCAACATCAGTTTGTATTTCATGAGTTGACTTGTCTCAGTAATAAAAATCAGGTAGGATTTTGGTGAATCCTAAAAAAGCCTATTCACCTCCTAACCACACGTCCACCACCTTCACGTAACTGACCGGCGGCAATTTAGCATTGATGGCCGCTTGCTATAATGCGAATAAGAAGTTATGGACACAAAGAGCGGCTATATTTAAAAAAAGATTACCATTGTGGTCATGGTGAGTAGAGTGGTGACACCCAAAGCTACACGACCAGCTGTAGAGTGCATATCGATCCAGAATGACACCCATGAGACGATTACGATCATTGTCGTAGGACCATAGAGTTGTACGAAGTAGTAGCTTTAACATAAATCTTTATTCCTTGAGAAAGCATGAAATGTCATTTGTGATCACCTGAACTGCCGCTTTAGTATCAGCTGCATTCTGAGACAGGCATACGAGCCTAAATTTTTTTTTATTGAAACATGTTTAGAAAAATACGATGTTTATATCCTTCTAAATCTTTGCTCTGAGTTACTGTTTAGAGATTCATAGGGGTCTGCGAGCACGTAGATATCAAAGAAGCTCTGTATTACTCTTTTTTTATATAACGGTGTGGAGTGGCACTATTAAGAGTTTATTCCCTCCCACCCTTCAGTTCTATTCCTTTAAACAACGTATGAATTAGAACAACCGCGCTCATATTCTCGTGCTGTATGGAAAGCAAACAGTGCATAAGTGGTGGAAGTGTGCCTGTGTTAGTGTGACTGGTACAATCGGCGTTTGTTGTGATGTTTTGGAGCTGAAAATTTGGAAGGTCGCTTCCGACGCCTGGTTTCAGTTGAACTGGAACTGTGGGGTCCCATTCATAGATGATATCCTGAGATAAATTATCAGAACTAGCGCAGGATAACAAACAGGATCGGGAGAACAGTGGTAGTCAAGCAGGGGAAAAGTAACTGTGTGATGAGAATACCTTCATCGTGTGGGCATAGCTGACTAGGTCGAAGTCGCAATACTGCAAATCAAGCGGGTAGAGTTGCAGTTGCATATGACAAGAGCTGGTGATACTAATTCGGCTACTGTACAGTACCTAAAACGAAACAAAAACTATACGTATATTTGCCTCGTCAGTCATATTCACTCACCATCCCGTTCGAATAGATTCGAAGAAACATGTTTTCAGTATCGATTAAGTGCCTATGGGCCGCCTTCTCCGTCTTAATATAAAAGAATTATAACAGTAATATTGCAAACTGTAAGCTTTATATTACACTTTCCATTATATGCCCAAAAGAGGAAGAACGTTAAAAAATCCTTCCACGGACCTTGGACATAGGACCAAATGGCACGAAGTGTTATATAATGAGTAAGTGGTTAGGTGATCATCTAAGGCAACAATATGCTTTCCCTCAGAACTACGAGTTTTCCGGGAGGCTTGACGAGTTATTATGCTCCCCACAGCAAAACCCAACAAGTTGCTTATGCGAATCCTGTCGCGAAAAGCAAACGCAGGGAAGTCCTAGGATAAGCGCAGTGTCTCTTCGTGTTGTTCATGTGAATGAAGCTCCCTGAGCGACTTGGCAATCCAGGACGAGTGAGGACTTCGTGCATGCCTATTCGAGTCATTTAGTGACTAACGGGATTACAAATGACTCAGGTGAAACTATACCGTCAGAATGATAAGTCTGGTTTAACTTTTACATGATTGGCGGAAACTGGAAGAAAAAGAAGAAATCAACTAGTTCGTTACTTGTCGTAAAGAAACTTTAATATTTCAGAACGTAAAAAGGAAATTTTGAACAGATTTCCACGTTTCCTTACCGGAAAGAAGGTATCTGGAATCCAGAGGTTGTTTTTGATGTGTGGTACGGTAAGAAACTGGGGCGGGTTATCATAGCCGAGATGAGCGTACGCCAAACGAGTGTCTAGCCATTGTTCTCGAAATGTCAGTTGCATGCTGTATTCCTAGATAAAATAACATAAAACGGATACTAATAAGTATAAAGACAATATCTTCGGCCTAAAAAAGGGGTAATTAGTGCTGAAGAAGTGGGTAGGCATGCTTATAACGAAACGGGGGGTTATCATTTATCTTGTTAACTAACTATTTGCTACTTCGTCGTTGCTCATACACGTCATTAAGAAAATAAGCGAAGAGTATTTCTTTCTGAAGGGTTTCAGTTTTCACATTTGATCTCTATTCTAAGCTTGACGACATCGGAATAAGCGGAAGGACACATCGTCATCACCATAGCTTCAGCGGCAATTCTTACCATGTTGACGACGTCTATCTTCGATAACATCCTGATCATTATGTTTACTCGTACTGTTACCGGTTCGCTCGGATCTGCAAACACTTGTCTAAGAAGCGATAGCTGAACGAAAAATAAATGCGAAAAATCAGCCTTTTCAAGTTGATCATATTAGAAGAAATTTGAGCGGCCGTCAAAAAAATCTCGAAGATGGGTGTAATGGTCGTATTACAAATTGTTAATGGAACTTGATACTACCAAGGGTTGAAGTATGGCAAAATCCACAAACTCTCGTGAAATATTACTCTTATATGGCGCTAACTTCTAGAACGTACCTGAATAGTTGGTTTGTGGCGGTCTAACTCGCATATCGTAGTTTGTGAGTAATTCATGAAGGATTTCCTGCTCTAGCGACCCGCCGTCTAATGTTCTGACGATGTGAAACGCTTTCATTAAGGTGACTATTGCGAAAATAACTGCCAGCATCATTCAGTCATTCTGAAAAGAAAAGATCAAAATGCAAATCTCACTCCACTCAGACCCGATCGGCAACAGCTTACTTTTACATTTCGCAAGAAATAGTGTGCCACACTCGAGGTCATACACATTTTAGTGCTAGATTAGCATTCATTAGGTCAAGTAACCCTAACACCGTTAATATTCATTAGTCTAGCGGAAAGTTAATGACGTTTTTGGAACGTGATTCCTTAATATCTATAACTATGCACGAACATAATGTTATTAGTAAAAATAGGAACAGTTAGAATTCACACATATTTGTCAAAATGAAAAAATGCGTTTATAATTTTGGTGTTCTACTTGGATACTTGGAACTTGGACGGCCCGTCCTCATTGGTTGTGTGGACTGCAGCATAACCTCCATTTTTCGGAGTTTTACTGGTTTAGCCATGGTGTTTCCCTGGAGTCCCGAGGTCAGTTTGGCCAAAGTCTGCCCCAGGTCCTCACCACCACAGGCAGTCGCTGCCCTTGTGGATCAGAGGGAGATTTGCCACCATGCGACTAGCTAGATAGCTGGGTGGTGGTGGATCCTGGTATTGGTTTACTCTTAGCTGGGTTCTCTGATAGAAAAGCTGAACTCCTCAGCTTGGGAGACACTGCCGAAGGAATTAATCCCCCGCTGTACATCGTAGTCCGACACTCATGAACATCTCCTAGCCACGATGAGGCGGTAAGCCGTTCTGAGCATTCAGGTATTATAGAGTACTGATAATTTGGAAGTGAGGAATTTTCAAAGGAATTTTTAGCATCTGTTTGGAAGCTGGAGATCTCAGCTAGTAGTTGTTAAGATGATTGAAAAAAGTAAAATTTCGCAAGCGAAAGCTAATGAGTGTGGTCGCTGGGGCGGAGTTTCGTAACTCAACTCTTTCAACTTCTGCAGCGTTAGTTGTTCAACAAGTGGTCCAACGTAATCGTGCAAGTGAGTTGTACTTCTTTTGTTGGCCACGTCCGGATACGGAAGCTGAGATTTTCGTAGGATATCGTCGGTTTCGTGAGCGTTCTCTGTCATGGTGGTCTCGAAAATACCATCATAACTATCTATTAATGCAAGTGGAACCTAGGGAAGTGCTTAGCTGCTTCATTTCAGCCGAATTCCTGAGCTAAATGTGGTCGATTATGTCACATCGAAAATGGGTCATTTTCACGGTGTGGAGGAAGCGTAAGAAATCTTTAATAATGACGATTTCGCCCCTCGCCATTCAATTCAAGCGGCAGCTTTATCATCCTTTCAATGTCTTTCAAATAAAATACGGTTGTCGAGTTGTACGGAGTGAATGCTCTACAACTCTTTGAGATGTTTTTCGAGTGGCAGCTGCGATTGTCAGATGACTTAATAACCATAAGAAGCATTTGTGCACTGAGTTTAAGGGCTTCACTTCAATTTGCCCAAAATCATTGTAAACTAGTTTTTGGTAGAAGTACTACACAGCAATTTGCTGAGCAAGAGATATCTTAAGACGGTCTAGAGCAGAAATGCAGGCAAGGAAGAATTACTGTGAAATGTATCTGTAAAGTCCATGATGACAAAATATGTCATTATTTTTGCATCAGCCTAGTAGTGAACTAGTTGAATATTTTTTGATGATCATTATTATTCTCGTGGGGAGGAGAACACAGTGGTAGTGATGCGCGTCATCACGAGCATCGCGCTACTTCTTGGATCCCACACAAGGCCAACTAAGCCGTTCATCCCTCCGCAGTTGGGAAATTGGTACTGGACTTGTCTGGTAAAAAATCACTCGCTGCAATTCAATTGGGAATGCTCCAACCCGGCTATCTTAGGACTCCAGCAAGAAACGATTCGCCCAGCATTCTACAATATTCGAGATTAGGAGGAAGTCCTCAGACAGGAACCGAAGCCAAACATCAAAGTTGGAAGGTCTTCGTAGATAGTGTATACGAGGAAACGAATCGAATGTGAGAAGTGCTGGGATCCGCACAGTAGAGGTGAAGACGAGTCAAATAAAATAACAATAAAAAGTACTATTCTTGTATAGAGAATCGATCATATAGATTGCAGAAGAAAACGATTAAGCGCGAGCTTCGATGTGCAGTTCCCATGTCGATTCTATTTAAAATGCACATAATATACTCACACCAATGGTTGAAGAGGATTCTAGCGTGACGAGATAATGACATAAAAAGAGCTGACCAGATTACGACGAAGACTGAAGAAATCAACAATGTATGACAGAATGAAAACTGAAATCGAAAGCGAACACTGGGTAGATATTTGCTGTCGGTTTCTTAATATATATTACTTACTTCCATCGACTTCTACTCTGCTTGTTATCAGGTACACAGTGTTCCGAAATTTTTGTGCTATGTCCTTGTTATGTACCTAATTTCCATCAACGGTTTTATTAGCTTGCCCTCTTGTCTGCATGTAATTTTTGCTTGAAGGAATAATTGCTTTAAAGCAGCGCCATCCCAAAGTCAACATGTAGATTCAGATGTTCTCGATCTAATCGATCCATAAGGTCTCAAGTATTTGTTTAGCCCCTATTGGTCTACTTATTAAAAATATACTGCTGCAGGAGTCCAGAATGATGGGCAGCAATAGAGAATAGTTGATCATTCTTGTTAAACATAGAGAATGAGGCAGGTATTGATCTACTGGGAGATATTTTTCTGATAAGCTAACTCTATCTTAGGTAACTTAGAAATAAGATAAATCAAGATGTTTTCAGATTTAGTGATTTGGTGCATGAAATTCTGCAGGGACTTCTATTTCTATATTCAACTTCGTGATTTCACAATGCAGAAGCCTTGGACATTACAGCGTTTTAGTTAGATAGAGATTGCAAGCCTACTCGTGTGAGTAGTTGCTCATGTCTAGGGCCGCGTGATCTGGCTGAAGTGTGCCAAACAACAAAAGGACTAAACGCTAAATGAGTTAGATGAGCACAAACTACGCGGTCGGATTGCCGATGTCGTCGATTCACACGTTGTCTGACTGGCCAAGTACAAATGTCGATTAGAGGGTAATTGCAGCGAAAGTGAACGAAAACCTTGTCGGGCATCAGGCAGATGTCAAGCCGTCGACATGAGCATTCATTTTACAGACAAGAGTTCCTTAGAAGAAAAGTGTCGGATCGAGTGCTAGAAATACTATTGCTTACTATTAGAAACCTTGTTTTTTGCTTATGCAAAGTGTGGAATATTGAAGTAAATACACACTAGGAACAAAAGGTATTGACCTAATAAGTGGGTGGATCCAGGAAATGGGCGGAGCTCAGTCTTTGCTACGGATTGGCTTATGCCTTCCATGTACACACAATCATGGCATACATAGGTGCATGAGTGTAAATATGTGTATGCGGTTTGTTTTTCAAGCATCGATTCGCTTGAAAACATGTCGGCATTCAGTTGACCAGCATTCGATAGAAGACAGTTCGGGATTTTCTTCAATAAATAGACCCATATGTACTTCGCAATCTAGAAATGACCATACGCACCTCCTTTGGTGTATTTAGACGACCACCGTTCCTTGACAAAAAAAGTTAAAATTAAAAGTTAAAAGAGCCTTACCCGAGAAGCACCTCTCAAGCAACTGAAGCACTGGGTAGTTTTGGCATGTGACAAGTAAGAATGGCGACTTAGCTGGTGTCCCAAGTGAGATTATTGATGAATAGCGAGATTAATGTGAAACTGGTTACAACTTCGTAAAGTTTCTGTTGAACTGAAGTGGAAGTTTAGAAGATGACCGGCTAAGGTCTGAGCTGCGGAAATCTGTCTCTTTAAACAATATTCTGTTATACATATCATCAAATAGATAGAAGTATCATTTTGAATGAGAATAATGGGTCTTTATTTGAACAAAGTCGTTATGGATGGGAGTAAATTGCGGAAGAATGCAAATGCTATGGAGAAATCGCTCGCGCAGATTATTCGGTTCGTACGCGAGTCCTTAACTGGGAGATATCTTTGTGCAAATGAGGTGATGCAGCGTTTATTTTATGCTTGTTTCCATAGTTGAAGTAATTTATAGTAATAATTTCCGAGCTACTCCACTACTATTCTTGTTTTTCACAAGAAACACACCAGATGACGATTGGTCAGCGTTCTTGTCGGAAGGGAATGTGATTTTTTTGGCAGTAGACACCGGCTACATGGCAATGACTTCCTCGGCTCTCACTTGTTGTTAATGCTTCGGAGTATCTGTTGCCAACTCCAAATGGATGGCATAAGGCTGGCTGACCCTTACAAATCACTATGCAAACTAATTTCAGAGCCCCAATCAATGCATGAAAGCAACGCGAATGTGGTATCGCCTCCCCACCATTAAGATTGACAAGCGATATGAACCCTGGTTTTTCGAAATTTTTCTAGCACAGACTTCTCACATATGCTATTATTGGAGAGATAGCCAGAGGTGAGAACTATATTGTAATTCTTCAAAGAAGTACCTCCAGTTAATGGAAAAAGTTAAAATTTTTAAACCGCTGAAATTCTCTCAACAAAGGATGATTTCGATCGATCTTCGATCAGTTGAGAAGATGAATGAAAAAAAGAACGTAAGTACGAGAGTTCTAATGTGCGGTTCTGCAAGCACTGAAGCTTCTATGATTTGTTTAAGAAGAATGCAGAGAAGTAGCGCCATTATTTATGACTCTGGCAATGAGCGGAGGTGCAAATCTCCGCCTTCGGGCTTTAAGCCGAAGAGTCACTTCTTTCATTGTTTGCATGGATGTTGAAATCGGCGATTGTGCTGTTGAGCTCGGGCACCACCTAATTCGATGTCATTTTCGTCTACACAAGATAAACTATACAGTAATGACACTATCAACGAAAGTCTACAAATATTAGACATGTAAGAGTAGTCTGTTTCTTTTATAGTACTTATATTTCTCCAATCCCTTCTCGATTTTACTATTTTTTTTCTTAGGAGAGAGTTCGAAGAGTTGCTTAGGTAATTCGAGTTCATGTAATAAATACGTCTTGTCGCCTGTGTCTCCAGGAGTACTGGA